TGGCGGGTGATGCTCAAAAGTACCTCAGGCTTTGAGAGTGCTCGTCTCCGTGGCTTTCAGTGGGCTAGGAAACCATCTGTCCTGGAGTGAGGCGCTTGTGAAAACACAGCCCAAGAGCCCCAGGAAAGCCGGCGTGGCGCTCTGTCAGCCTGGAGCCAGACTGTCCAAAGAGGAACACGTGTGGCCTGTCTGCCTCACTAGAGCGGGTGATGCTCAAAAGTACCTCAGGCTTTGAGAGTGCTCGTCTCCGTGGCTTTCAGTGGGCTAGGAAACCATCTGTCCTGGAGTGAGGCGCTTGTGAAAACACAGCCCAAGAGCCCCAGGAAAGCCGGCGTGGCGCTCTGTCAGCCTGGAGCCAGACTGTCCAAAGAGGAACACGTGTGGCCTGTCTGCCTCACTAGAGACCCCCCTCTCTCTGGAGAGATGGGTGTGCGCCTGTCAGTGGGCACGTCTGTGCAAGTGGTATGTCACCAGCCACACCTCTCCGCCTGTTTGGGGGTACTGTATGTACAGGCGCAAATGTGAGATTCTAGGCCCATGGGGGCTTGCGTCTCCCCGTGTGCCTGTTATTTCAGTGATTGTGTGTTTTCATGCTGGTGTGTCAGCCCATCCATGGTGTATCAAAGTGGCAAAGCGCCCACTGATTTCCACAGGGCCAGATTTCACCCTCTCTGTTTATGTGCTTGGCTGTTGACAGGCGTCTGTGTGCAGGTGCATTTGCAGTGTGTACCCGTGCCTCTGTGGGGCTGCACTAGCTCTGTGCTTGTGTGTCTCCACTGTGTGTGTGTGTGTGTGTGTGTGTGTGTGTGCCCAGCCACTGGCCAGCCTGTGTGTGCAGGAGCTTTCGTAAGTTGCTGCAGGAGTCGCTTTTCCTTCATTTATTCCGGGGCCCTTCAGATCTTGACAAATCTGTCACTCTAAATTTGCGAGAGATTATGGTGCTCTCTCCCAGCCCGGAGAGAGGTGATATATGATATCTGCTGCCTCTATTGATTGCCTGATCTGGTGGCAGAGGGCTGGCGAAATGAACTTGAAATGAACATCATGCCTCAACTCATTGTGCGTATAATACACTACTTAATCCCACATTTTTCAGCCGCTATGGAATTCAATTGATCAATCATGTCCCACTGATAGTACTGGGTTTAGGGGTTATTGCTGCTCTGCTCACTGACCTTTTTATTTATTTATTTATTTAGGGGGGGTGTTGGTAAACTCAAGGCCCGGTGAGAAGCCCGGGCCTGCGCAGAGCCCGAGAGAGGAGGAGCATGAGCGAGGGAGGGCGGCAGGGAAGGGCGCAAAGCAGGAGAGAGGAGGAAGGAATGGACGGGGAAGGGATCAGTGTCAGGCGCGTGCCAGGCAGCTACGGGCTGACCTTTTTATTTATTTATTTATTTAGGGGGGGTGTTGGTAAACTCAAGGCCCGGTGAGAAGCCCGGGCCTGCGCAGAGCCCGAGAGAGGAGGAGCATGAGCGAGGGAGGGCGGCAGGGAAGGGCGCAAAGCAGGAGAGAGGAGGAAGGAATGGACGGGGAAGGGATCAGTGTCAGGCGCGTGCCAGGCAGCTACGGGCTTGGTGTTACAGTTGCTGGCTGAGGGTTTCTGGCCTGGGCTAAGCAGGTCAGAGCAGCCGCTGAACGGCCCCTGCTGGTCTCCGAACGGGCGGGAGATGAGCAGCGCAGTCAAGAGAGGCTGGTCTGGTCTAGGGCCAGCTCCTAAACTCTCCCTGGGGGTAGGAAGGGAGCTTCTCTGGCCTAGAACAGGTTTACTTCCCTGCTCTGTGCAGCCTGGGGTAAGTTAACAAGCATCTCTGAGCCTCACTTCCCACCCAGGGGTCAGACCCCTCCCTGCGTCCCGGGGCGGATACATTCAAAACCCGCCCGGTGCTTTGGGACTGGTGGTACATTCTTCACAGGAGGAAGCAGGGCCCTGAATTCCCCCGAGAGGAGCTTGTGGGCAGGTCTGGCCAGAGGGAGGGGGCCCTAAAGGACGGGGGGTTCCATGGAATGTCGCCAGCTCACAAAGTGTCCCCCCCCATATGAGTTTGGCCCCAAAGATCATGAGACTGTCTCAAAAATCAGATGAACAAAAATTCTCGGTGTTGGGCCCCGTCAAGTTTTCCTTTCAGCCGCTCCCCCGGGGGTGGACACTTCTGGGTTTACAAAAAGGAGAGCAGAGAGTCTCCTCCAATCACGGGACTCCGGGAGCTGGGGCCTGAGAGAAAGCGCCAACCAACCGCCACCGGAATTGTTACACGCTCCCCAGGCTGACAGCACCATGGGCGGGAGAGCCACGGAGGAGGGGGGGCGCTGGGACTTCGGGGGGAAGAGGACGGGCTGGGCAAGGGAGCGGGATGTACGACGGGCTTCGGGGGGCTCAGGGAGAGAGGGCGCTGGGGGCAGAGCCGCTGGTCGACTGCAAGAGAGCTGGGGTGGGAGGAAGGCTCAGGGAAGCTGGGAGGGTCTGGCCGGGGGGCGCTGAGGGAATGGCAGAACAAGGGGTTATTAGGGTGAAGTGAGGCTGTGGGCAGCACTATTGGAGAATGCCCAGACAGGTAACTTGGCAACACCTGGGGGATTGGCAAGAGAACTCCCCCCATTACGGACTGGTCCAGGGCCCCCAGCATCCTGGCCACACACGGCTCAGTCACAACCTCTTTCAACCGCCTGTGACCAGAGTAAGTACAATCAGATCCAGCCCTGCAGACGTAATGGGAACCACCTCTGCTCCCGAGGGGCTGCCAGGAGGAAAAAGCCGCACAACCAGCGTAACCGCGTGACAGGAGACACATCAGCACCCTGGTGGGTGTGACAGAAACACAACAACTGGTAATATGGAAATGCTGCCGAGTGACACCCCCCCCCCCCCCCCCCGAAACACGGTGACAGATAACACAAAGACATCCCAGGATGTCACAGAAACAGCCCTACAGGTCAATGTGTTTCCATGGTGCAGGTGACAACGGACACGCCTGTATCCCCAAAACAGCCCTACAGGTGATACAAAAACACTTGTGTCTCTCATGAGACCATCCGTACCAATGCCACAACCCTCACACCGTGCTCACTCTCTCGCTGTGTGTTTGTACAGCCCCTCGCACAGCGGGGCACTGGCCTCGGGCAGGGCCTGGCGGCGTTACCGGTAACATTCCCGCTCCTAACGGAAAGGAATGCGTCTGGCCAGCCTACACCTGCCGGGTGACGCAGCAACAGTCGGCTCATCGTGGAATGCTCTGTGTAAGCCAAGCTGCGGCAGAAACGCGGCCCCCTCCCGTCGGTCTGTCCCAGCCCTGCTCTGGCCTAGGGTGACCAGACAGTCCCAATGTTTGGGGCTTTTATCCCCCATCCCGATTTTTCACACTCACGTTCTGGTCCCCAGCGTCTGTCTGAGGGCGGCTCTGCTCCAAGCACACCTCTTCCACCTGTTCCCTGCCTGCCTGCCCACACGGCTCTTTCCCCTTCTCTTTTTCCCCCTCTGATGTGTGCCCGGGCCTGGTGCAGCCCGGCCTGTCAGGGATCTTTCCTGGACATCCCCCGGGGGCTTTCACAGCACTGCCAGTTGTTGCCGCTTCAAACTCAATTGTTCTCCTGGTCCTGAGGCAAATGGAGTCATTAATTACCTTCCATCGGCTGGGCCGAGCTCCGAGCGCGATCGATACGCAGGGCTTGTCATTCACGGCAGCCGGCCTGCGCCCCCCTCCCGTCCCCGTCCCTGCATGCAGCCCAGCCCCCCGGCACCGGGCTCGCTGGAGGACGGAGCAAGCCCCCCGCTCAGACCCTCTGGACAGGAGACTGAGCCTGCTGCTTCGGGGCTTGAGCCTGCCACCGAGCCGAGGCCAGGTCGCTGGAGCCCTGCGCGGAGACAGAACGGGCATCCGCGTCCGTATCTGCACACACGACACCCGCCTCCACCCCGCTGCGCTCTCTGACGCACCCGCTGCTGCCACTGACTGGGCACTGGGTGAAGGGGGTGGGGGCCTGACCCAGGCGTAGCTCCTGCAGCATGGCCAGAACGCATGAGCACACCGTCAGCGAAGGCGTTCCCTGGGCTGGCAG